ACTAATTCTTGTTTTCACTCCACAGCTCATTCTGTTCTGCCTACGTGAAATGTTTTCTCCACTCTACTCCCCCACCCAAGACTTACCTCTCCTTCAGAGATCAGTTCAGGTCCCATCCCTTTAAAGAAATCTTTCCTGACCACTACTAGACCTCATTGAGCTCTGACCTCCTAAACAAGTTCAGGCCTATCTCACCCAGTTTAGCCATTGCTGCTCTACGCACTGGCTTGTTCTTTGTGCTCCTTGCGTGGTGCCATCACAAAGAGTTTGTGTTGAAGCTGCACCCTGAGGAGAACTTCCGGCAGTGAGGGACCAGAGGCATTATGAAGTCTAGGTATTAGGTATCCACCCCCACTATTCACAACCTGTACCTTCGTCCCTCTGTCCCTCCACTACCCCTGGATGGGGGCAGTACCTACCTTTTGGATGATGATAGCTGCCTGATCTCTATTGTTCTCAAACTGGTTGCTTTCCCGAGCTCTTCCATCGCATTCCTCATCCTTTCGAATCTCTCGCATAAGCTTGGCCCGGAGTCGGCCCTGTCTAGCTCGCTCAGCACGTTGGATCCAAGTTATTGCCTCTGACTTGTGTAAAATTACACCATCCTGTGGAGGGGAGGTAGGGTCTGGAATATGACTTATGGGTATGTCAAGGGCCCACTGGTGTCTCCAATTGTCTTTGCTCCATGTAGGGGCGTGGCACCCAGGGTACATAGCATTGTGTAACTGACTCCCATGTGTATAAATGATGATAACACAGGCGCATAGGATTCAGAAGTGGGAGGAACTTTAGAGTTCATGCCTAGTAGATCCTTACTTTAGAGATGAGAAAAAATATGGTCCTAAAGTGGGGCATGACTTGCCCCTCATACAGCTGGTCTCACAGCTAGTAAGTAGCCCACTCTAAATCCAATTTAGAGTTAGGTGGAAGCAGGGTGGGAGGGGAGAGTATGTCTGTGAGTTTCAGCTCTTTAAAAAAAATATACCATTTGGTGGAATCTGATTTTCCCTGACTGGTTGCCTTCCCTGGGTCACTAAGGAAGGGTTAAGTGACTTGTCCAGGGCCACACAGCTAATAACTGTCTGAGGTCAGATTTGAACTCAGGGAAATGAGTCTTCCTGACTGTAGGCCTGATATTCTATCCACTTTACCACCTAACTGTGGTCTCCCAAAAGGTATGGTCCAGGGTTACATAAAAGTTAAGGCTAGAAATATCTCAAAGGGCCAAGATCTTGGAAAAGGGGAGGGATCTTTGGGGAATCAGTGGAATGAAGGTGTTTCTTTTTCTTACAGTCTTGCTGTCCTTTTGCCCAATTTTCTCCAGGATCTCTGCCATTATTGCCTCTCGGTCCTGAAGCACTTTTCTCTGCTCCAACATGAAGTATTTGGGAATTGGGACTTCCAGGTCAGCCTTTGGAAAGGGTGTGGACAGCAGGGTATCAGGACCTTCTACTATCTCATCATCACCACCTTCCTCCCCCACCTTCAGTGGCTGCCCCTTTGTCCTGTCTGTCCTCAGTCTTGCAATTCTAGGTGGGTTGGTGGTGGTATTGGTGTTAGAGACCTCACCAGAAGCCACCCTGTCCTTTCTCATCCCTCCAGGCAGGAACACTCATATGAATCTGATTTCCAGAAGACTATGACATAAGTCTCCAGGGTAAGAACATAGATTGGAGATAGGGATGGGCACCTAAGGATGGGATTGGATGACTCCTACGTAATCCCTGAGTGCCTCAGGTTGGAGATAGAAGCTGTTTGAAGGTTTTCCCAGCCATGAGGGAATTCTAACTAGGCATTAGAGGCCTACACATGGAGACCATGCACTTGCCTCTATTCTAAAGTAGAAGATCCTTCATTACGTCTTAATAATTTTCAACCACTTTCTGCCCTTTCCCCCCATGTATGTGCTAAAAAGCCAAGTCCACCCATCACTTCCCTATTTTTTGATTAGTTTCAGAGTAAAAAGTCCTTCCCTAGGTCTAGCCTCCATTTCTTGGGCAAGTCTAAACACCATTCATAGGGTTTCTTGAAGTGGAGAGTATCAGGCCTAGTGTCAGGAAGACTCATCTTCCTGAGTTCTAATCTGACCTCAGCACTTACTACCTGTGTGACCCTGGGCAAGTCATTTAACCCTGTTTGCCTCAGTTTCCTCATCTGTAAAATTAGCTGGAGAAGGAAATGGTAAACTACTCCAGTATCTTTACCAAGAAAATCCTAAATGGGATTACAAAGAGCCAGACACAATTGAAAACATCCCGTTATTGGTCCATAGGATAGAGAACCCAAAATGAACTTAAGTCCAAACCAATTCCCTCATTTTACTGATGAGGAAACTAAGCTTTAGGCACATTAAGTAACTGGGTCAAGGTTGAGTAAAAGTGTCGAAAGATATGAATCCAAGTCTATGACTTTTTCCTCTATACCATACTCTTGGCATTTAGAAGAAAAGTTCAACCACTTCCTGCCCCACTCCACCCATCCCTTCCTTTTCCCTGTATTCTGCAACTCTAGGCACTGAATTCAGAGGTGCTAAATCTTCTATAGGGCCATCAGAATTCTTTTGGGGCTCCATTTAAGAGCTTTGGTGTGTCCCCCACTAACCCCTTTGCTCAAAAGTCACTCTGTCCTGTCCCACCCCCTGCTCAATGCTGATAGCAGGGAAGTAAAATCACACTTTTTGTTCTCCCTAAACCTCCTCTCTCCAACCATACTCATGTCATTTCAGTCAGAGAAATCAACTCGCCACACCCCATCCCACACCGGTGTGAGTTTTAGGTCCTGAAGCATATGGTCCAAGCAGTGGTACTCAGATAGATCAACTTGCACCAACTCCTCCTTCAGCTCCAGGATCCGACCGGCTACCCCGTCCAACAGACGGCGGATGAGCTGCCGCTTCTGGGGTTGTACCATCTGGTCATAGATGATATCTAGCTGCCGCATCATCCCCAGGTAGTGCAGAAAGAGTGATGAGAGCCTATAGATGAAGGAGCCTCGCTCTCGGTCAGGCACTGGGTCTGGCAGGAACTGCTCCTGGAACAACAACTTTTGTAGCGTCTGATGCGTGGAAACCCAGAGCCGCTGGTATGTCCTGGTGGTGGAAGTAGAGGGAGGACGGCAAGGAGCAGATTAATGTCGGGGCCAGAAAATGGACCAAGACCATGTGATGCAAAGCAAGGGGAGCTGGATTTAGAGTCAGAAGATTTTGGACTGGAATCTTAGCTCTGACATTCATTACTTCTGTGATCTTGGTTAGGTCACTTCTTTCCACCTGTTTCCTCGTCTTTAAAATAGCAAGGTTAGACTAGAATGATCACTAAGGCTCTTCCAGATTTAATCCTGTTATCTGAGATTCTATAATCTAATGTTTGCTTACATGGGGATAATATTGATGGATGAATCTAGAGAGTGATACTGGGGGTCAGGAGACCAGTTGAGCAATATTAGAGGGCCAGTAGGGAGTTTGGCCCAAGTCCCTAGAGCAGAAGTTCTTAACCTAGAGTCCACAGATCCCCAACAAGTCCATGGGTGGATTTTAGGGCATTCATGAACTTGGGTGGGGAAAAAAATTACATCTTAATTTCAAAATAATGGTTTCCTTTGTTGTCTCATGTATTTTATACATTTAAAAACATCATTCTGAGAAGGCATCCTTGAGTTTCACTAGAGTGCCAAAGGGATATATAACACAAAAAAGGGTAAGAACCCCCAGCCCTATGGAGAATTGAGAGAACAGAAGGTCAATAAAGGGATCAAGGCCTCTTTGTGGGGAAGGTGTCCTTGTGGAAGTCAGGAGACCAATTAGGTCCTCTAGGGGCATTTCTGGGATGCAGTCCAGAGGTTCTAGAAGTTTATATGGCAGCATATAATGGGGACAGAGGTTGAAGGCAGAGACAGAGGAATAAGTGTGTAGAGAAAGTCTCCCTTCAACTACCACTCTAGTTGAATCACAAAATTTAGGCACGGAAGGGATTTCAGTGGCTTATCTAGTCTCCTCTATACCCAACAAAAATCTCTACTCAGTGGTGTGGTGGATAGAGTACTGGGCCTGAAGTCAGGAAGACTCCAATCTGATCTCAGACATTTACCAGCTTCATGACTCTGGGCAAGTCACGTAAGCCTATTTGCCTCAGTTTCCTCATCTGTAAAATAAGCTGGAGAAGGAAATGGCAAATCACTCTAGTAACGTTGCCCAAAAAAAAAAATCTCAAACGGGGTCACAACTGAAAGGAATGAACAACAACCATAATCTATCCAACAAGTGCTTGAAGACCTCTATCAAGCAGGAACTCGATACTTCTCAAGACAAGCCTATTCCGGTTTTTCAACTGATCTATTTGTTAGGAAGTTTTTCCTAACATCGTTCAAATCTTTTCCAACTTCTACCTTCTGCACCTTGAGGCAGAGCAAGTCAGATCCCTCTTTACTTATGATCATTATTCACATGCTTAAAAACAGCTATCAGATTTGCTGCTCTCTGCCTCTACCCCTATCCCACCCCCAATCCCCCCACCCCATTCATACAACTCTAGTCTTTTCTTCTTTAGGCTTGAACAATTTCTTAAGTTCTATCAATTTCGTCTGCCTTTAGAAAGGATTAGCATTTCTAGGTGAGGGAAAAAAATGGATTGGAGCTGTAGAAGGTGCCCTGTGAGGGTTGGGAGGAAACCCTGGTGCAAAAAAAGTCTCCTATCCTCTACCCATATGCTCCAAAGAGGATTCAGTCTGAGTCTTGACCATAGCATGACCAGCAAATTGGGAGGTTCTTTAGATTTTTTTAGGGGTAAGGATCAGTATTTGGGGCTTTCTTCCCACTCCCAACTCACTCACCCCTCAGACATGTTGCCCTCTCTCTTCTACAGCTGTTCTTTGTTCGGTGATTGTGGTTTCCATAGAAACCCGAGGTTCTACCTGCCCCACCCTGATACCTCACCCTGCAAGGCACACAGTAGATAATTAATAAATGTTTAATGATAAGAAGATGCAATGTTTATGTAGCATAGGTAATTTGGCATAGACAGGCTCAGAAGTACAGAATATGTTGGATTTCACCTAATAATTGTGGAAGAGATAAATGAGTAGAAAGATTTTAGCTCCAGGGTCCTGAGAATAAGGGCTCAGGCCAGCTGTTGGGAGAGTTAAGTCCAGACAGGCTGTGGGATACAGGGTACAGACAGAATCATGGCTTGTCCAGCCTTAGAGATGTCCACTTCTCCCAAAATAGATGAGGAACCAAGGCTTGGGAAAGGTGATCAGTAGCACAGGTAGCAGTAGAGCCAACAATAGTAGTCTCCTCCTGACCTAATTCAATGATCTTTCTGGGACCCCACAAGAGGGCTACAAATGTCCCATGATTTTTCCAAATACATGATAGGTTTGCTACTCTTTCTAATGATGATCATAAAAATGTAAATACTACCCTTTCTCACCCATTCACCAACCATCTCAGGCACACAGTGGGGGTCCTCCCATTCTTTATTAATGCTCCTGGCATCATACATTGGTGAGGAAGGAACTTTTTAACCCCCAAAGCAATCCCTTTTCACCCCCTAAACCAGTCCACAAGGTAGGGTCCAAGCTCACTTAGAGCTGGTATACTTGGTGACAGCCTTGGTGCCCTCCGACACAGCATGTTTGGCCAGTTCCCCAGGCAGCAGCAGACGCACGGCTGTCTGGACCTCCCGAGAAGTCAGGGTGGTCCGGCCCGAGTACTGGGCCAGCCGGGCTGCCTCCCCCGCCAGGCGCTCGAACACATCGTTCACCAGCGAATTCATGATGCCCATGGCCCTGGAAGAGATGCCAATGTCTGGGTGTACCTGGGAAGGATGTGAAAGAAAATGACGTTAGCCAGGCTATCCACACTCTCAGGCTGGGGGAGGCTGGAAAGGTAGCTAAACTACTTTCCTAAGGCTCCACCTGCCAACCTCTTTCTAGAAGCAAAAGACACAGAACACAGAAGACTGGTAATCTCTTAGTGTTGTTTTGTCATCTCTGAATCCCTTCTCATTTTAAGGGCAAGCCTAGTGTGATGCAAAGAACATGGGATTGACAGCCAGGAAACTTTGGTTCACTCTATAACGATGGGCAAGCCATTTCACCTTGAGAGAGCCTTGGTTTTCTCCTCCATAAAATGAGGAAGTGGAGTAAGAGGATCACTAAAAGTTCTAACATTGCTGTTTATCACATCCACCCTTTAAGGCATGCAGGACAGGCACCACTCACTCCAAGCCAGAGTCTCCTCATCTGTAAATTAGAGATGGGCCCAAGGTCTCATAACACATATATGTAAGTACACACATATATACATATTTGTTTATTTACTTGCAGGGTAGGAACTAGAGACCCAGGTCTCCCATACCCTATACCATGTTTCTAAGGATGGAGTTAAGTCTTATTATAAAGGTTGATTTCATCCAAATCCCTCCTGTAGTTGCAACCTCATCCATTCTACTTCTTTTCTCAATGAAGGTAAAGATGGAGATGGGGAACAGCTGCTCATGGGGCTCTAGAAAGGTACTATTTCATGCTCCGAAAAAGGAATTATATTTTTCTTGACTAGATTATAGACCTCTTTTCCCTCCCAGCTCTTCCCATTCTGCCAAGAAGCATTTATTAATGTACCAGGCATTGGGCTGGGTGCCTGAGATAGCAGGACCAAAACAAAACTGTCCCAGCATCAAGGAATTAACATTGTTGGGACAGGGATGACATGTACACAGAAAATTAAATACAAATACATACAAAGTAATTTCTGTGGGAAGGGAACATCATTAATGGCTTCGCATAGGAAAAGTTTCAAACACACCAGCCCGTGTAGCACTGCAGCCCACAACTCTTCCAGTACCAGATTAAAATGTCATTGGGAAATATCTAACAAAATCAATAAAAATACATCAGAATATAGAAATTGGTCATTTGCAGATTTTCTAAGTCAGTAGGCGGCTATAGGGATCCTTACATAAAGTCTAGTGGTCCCCACTGTCTATTTGAGTTTGATACTACTGTTGTAGAAGATAGTAATTCAGCTGAGCTGGGAAGGAAGGTAATAAGGCTAAGGTGAAAAGGGAATGTATTCCTGGCACAGGGAATGGCCTGTGCAAAGCCACAGTGATGGGAGATTGAATGTCATTCATAGAGAAGAGCAAAGCAGGCCAATTTCAGTGAAATGCATGAAGGAGTAATGTGTAATAAACCTAGAAAAATAGGCTGGAGTCAAATTGTGAAGGATTTTCAAAGCCAAATGACCTCAAGGGCACAGATCAGTTCCTCAACTTTCTGTTCTTTCCCCAAGCCCCACAGGCTTTCTTCACCCCAGAGTGGATATTTCTAATCCATACTCTCTTGTTGCCGTCACTTCTCAGTACAGGGGCTACCTTGTTAATCTAATAACGAAGTGGTACATTCAGTAACAGTTCGGACCTCTCCCAACCAGCCTCCGCTTCAACTGGGGCCTTCTGGAAACAGTGGCTCCTGCCTACTTTTGATGGCTAACCCAGAGCAGGGGTAGTTTGGGGATTTGGGGGAACAGGTAATTTTAGTCACCCCTGGTGGGGGGGGCAGATAAGAACTGAGGATGGGAGAAAAAGGAAAGACATACATATCTGTATTCTCCTACTGAGTGCCTAGTACCTAAACTTGGGGAGGAGGAGAAAATTGTATAAAGTCACAGTCTTCAAGGAGATTACAGTGGTGGAAATTCAGGGCTTGAACAAGGAAGAATGGCAGGAAACGTGGGGCAAGCGCTAAATGAGCAATCTAGGCAATGATGACCACGGTAGCTCAAAGAAGAGAGAAATCATCGCTCTGACTATGGCTCCCTAGATAAGCGACTCAACCAGTTTGGCTGTGGCTAATCCCATCACTCAAGACTTCAGCCTTCCTGTATCCTGGTGGAATGAAGAATAGTGGCAGGGAAATGGAGTTAGGAGTTAATAAGGCAGCTAAAAGTGAGAGAGACTTACAAATCTTACTTGCACTTACTAGCCCTATGGGCCAGGTTTATAGTCAGTACAGGCCTTTAGCACTTTGTTTCGTTTGATACCTCTCTCCAGATACACCCCGGAACACAGAAACTCCAAGTTAATTACGATTGGACCAAATGACTTCAAAGACTCCTTCTATTGAAGTCAATCCACAAGAATTTATTTATACTTACTGTGTGTCAAGCACTGTCATATGGACTGGGGATACAGACATAAATAACAAAACAATCCCTAATCTACAAGCATTTACATTCTATTAGAGGAAAGCACGGGTAAGCATACACAGAATAAATACAAGGTAGTTTAGGGAAGGGAAGAGAAAGGATGAGAAAGGAGGCCACTACCGAAAGAGTATGTATATATGAGGGAGAGGGTTTAGGAGGGGAAGGGAAATAAGGTTTCCTGGAGAAGGTGATACTTGATTTACATCTTGAAGGAAAGAGGGATTCTCTGAGACAGTGGGAAGGAGGCAGTGCCTAGTAGAGAGAGGTGACAGCTCGTGCAAAGGGATGGAAAACCGTGATGGAGTACCATTCAGGAAGATCAGAGATGAAGACAGTTTGGCTGGAGTACAGGAAGAGAAGTGATGTAGAATGAAGCTGGAAAAATTAGAGTCAGGTGGTGAAGGGCTTTAAAAGCCAAACAGGAGTCTCTGGTTTATCCTTCAGGCAAAAGAAAACCAGAGTGCTTTCTACAGGGCTGCTGCTCCCACTGCTGGGCCCTCAGATTCATTGAACTCTAATTCACACGGCTAGAGATGTCTAACTTCGCTATTAAATGGAAAACTAGATCAAGAATACAAAGGGTAGGCCATCAGGCTTTTCTTCCATTCTTCTCTTCCTCTCTCCTAAGGCCACTGTAGGGCCTCGCAGTAAGCTTTCCTTTAAGCCTGCCTCTCTAGCCCAATTCCATAACTACCTCCTACTCCTATATTTCTCACCTGTTTCAACACCTTGTAGATATATACTGAGTAGGTCTCCTTTCGGTGGCCCCTCCGCTTTGACTTTTTTCTCCCTGGGGCTCGGCAACTCCCAGACAGTGGTGGCTGCTGTTGCTGCCCAACCTCACCACTCATTTTTGAGGTAGCCTCCCCCCAGTCTCTCTGGGGAAAGCCACTTATGTGAAAGCAGCTCACCTGACCAAGATGCTTCAGAGGGAGAACACCTGGGAGGGGCAGGCGATTGGGGGTGGGGTATAGCTCAGCTCCACCCTGAGGGCTCCAAGGCACGATCCTAAGGAAGGGTTGGTGAGAAATACTGCTTTCCTACCAAACTTCCAGGCAAAGCCAGAATTAGGGGCAAGTACCACACACAGGGTGCAAAGCAGGGACTCTTTTTAAGACTGACTCCTATAAATGCATATATTTTTTAATTTTTTAAGGCAATTGGGGTTAAGTGACTTGCCCAGGGTCACACAGCTAGTAAGTGGCAAGTGGAATGCCATAAGATTCCATTATGCACGGTACATGGAAAGCTAGCCTGGTATTCTGGTGGAAACGATGGGCTTAGAGTCACAAGAGACATGAGTTCGAACCCCATAGGTATTACTTAAGGTTGGATAGTGTAATCTCTAATTTCTTCATCTGTAAAAAATAGGCTAATACCTGTAGTACATCCTGGACACAGTTGTTTCAAGGCTCAAATGAATATGTAAAGTGCTCTGTAAACTTTAAGGTGCTAAATGTTAACTATTATTCTTGTAGGTACTTATTTCGTAATGTCAAGTCAAAAATGTTAGTGATGACACAAAGCATCCAGGAATCAGTAACAGACAGGAGGAACAATTTTTTTTCCTTTAAAAATTTTATTGTTATTGCTATCTTTTTTTTTTAACATCACCTTCTTTTCAGAAAATAGCCTTCCCTCTTCCCCTACCCAACTAGCCTCCCTTGTAACAAAAGAAAAAAAAGGAAAAATACAGCAAAACCAACATATCAACCAAATTTGACAGGTAGTGTTCCGCCCTCACACTCCCCAACTTTGCAAAGAGAAGTATATTTTTCTCTCTTTCTCTGGTGCCAAACTTGGTCATTATGATTACACGGCAGTTTGGTGGGTTTTTTCCACCTACATTGTTGTAACCATTATATATATCATCTTCCTGATTCTGTTTCCTTCAGTCTGCACCAGTTCATGTCTTCCCATGCTTCTCTGAACTCATTATTAATAATTTCTTATATCATGAGATTCCTTTAGTGTACCACAATTTATTTAGTTACTCCCAATTAATGGTTGTCTACTTTCTTCCCAATTCTCTACTACCAGAAAAAGTGCTGCTGTTACTATTTTGATGTATATGAAACCATTCTATCTTTTGACTTCCATGTGCCACTGTCTTATAATTCCAAATTGCTGTCCACAATGGTCGGACCAATTTTCATAACTGTTTCCAAAGGTATGTTATTAGCGCCTGAGTCTGCACAGTCAGGAGGAACAACTCCCAAATCTTGCTAAGGGAGAGTACAACAATCTCCTCCTGCGTGCCAGGCACCTTCTTACCTTTCACAAAGGGCTCTGAGCAGTGAATTTATCAGAGGCCTCAAGTCCACAAACCAGCTAGTGTCATCAACAGCACATCAAGTGTTTACTGAATACCTATGCGCCAAGCACTGCACTATTCAGGGACAGAGAAGCAGAAGCTATGGTCTCTACTCTCAAGCTTACGATCTACCCAGGGAGGCAACACTAAGGCACCTGGAGCAACTAGAGAGCAGCTGCAAGCTCAATCGCTTAGAATGCTAGCAAGGGCTGCCAGGCCAGGAAGGAGCCCTCGTTCTGGCCTGGAGCAGCTGGGGGAGGCTGCAAAGGAGCGGCAGGACCCCGCAGATGGCTAGGACTTGAACAGGGACAGAAGCAGGGGAAACAGGGGGATGGACTAGGGTTTCTCTCCCCTTCCCCAGTGCGTATTTCCCCTACACTTCACATTTTATGTTCTTCACATCCCATCTACGTTGAGAGGCAACCTGACACAGTGGTATGCCTTCTTAGCTATGAAACCTTAGCATGGATGCATTACCTGTTCCTTCTGAGACTTGGGGGAGCATGAAAGCTTGAAGCCCTAGGGGGTGGAGCCTTGGAGAAGAGGTATGGAAAGAAGGAACAGAGGTCAAAATGAAAAAGGGAAAACACAAACACTTGACCAATTTCATCATTTTGGCTTGGTCCCACGGGTCAAGGAGCATGTAGCTCTCCCAAATTTTTGTTTAACCTTACAAAGAGTGTACATTTCTTGAAGACAGGGGGATCTCATTACTAGGTTCTGGAAATTTACCCCTTACACGAATAGGTTAAGCTGTTAGGGAATTACCATGGAAGAATTTAACAGGAAGAAGGTAATGCTTATCCCAGAAGAAATCAACTGTTAAGTAATAGAATTTCGGAACCAATTGTAAATAATGGAATTTCAGGTGTCACTGAAAATATTTTTTGGGAAAGCTCTCGGCACTTCAAATCACACATGTGGCTACCTCTGCAGAAGCTAAGATCTTGAGGATCCCAGGAAACCTAATGAAAACAGCACTGGGTGTGAAGAGAACCTGGGTCTCCTCATCATCTGGGTGACCTTGGGGCCTGAGCCCATTTTCTGTAAAATAAGAGGGCTGCATTAGATGACGTTCAAGGTTCCCTCCAACTAGAAGTCCTGACTCTTAGCATTCACAGCCAGTTTTGAGGGGATAGTTCCGTAAGTCCCAGGGAAAAGTCCCCTCCTTATGAACCTATCAAGAAGCAGAAGAGACAATTATTCAACCTGCACCGAGGCTTTTAGCCACTATGGTCCACCTCACTGTTTATTAAAAACCATCTTCAGTGTCTAACTTCCACCACTTGTCCTTGTTTTCCCCCCCACTGGTAATATCCTGCTCCTCTTTTGTCTCTCCAAACTGCATGCATCCCTGAAGGCCCAGCTTGAATTCACCTTCTCTGACTCTAGCCCAAACAGCTTTTCCCCTTTTCACAATGCCTCAGTCTGCACCAGTGCATTTTCTAGTACTGTCTGAAAAACCTTTGGTTTGAAAACCATTTCTCCAACTAAGAGTAAGTCTCTGAGGGTAGGACTTGGGCTTCCCTTTCCTTTGTATGCCCCTCCCACAAGGCTTGGGCTTAGCTCTGTGGATTGAGAACAGGAGGGAGCCAGAGGCTGCCTGCCTCCTTGCTAACATAGTTCAATGATGGTTTCTGAAGGGGGGAGGAAGAGGAGGGACATGCTGGGGGTGCTGGTTTACCGCAGCCCCTGGAGATCATCAGGAATACTGAAGCATACCGTTACTAGTGGGCCAGATGGTATAAACGACAGAAATAAAGAGAGTCTAAACAAACAGAATCATCTTTGCATAGGCCTGGGGTTGCCTGACAGAAATCAGGTCCCTCAAAAGAATCAAAAGGCAAAAAGCTGCTCTCATCTAGGACTCCCTTTACAGCACTGTATCCTAACAGACTCACAAGTGCAGAGAATAGGCCTGGGCAACTCCATTCATTCTCTTCACTAACACTCAGCCCACTCTCAGTCCAGCCTCGCTCAGGGCTTCGTCTTCAGTGTCAGTGTCCTCTCTGTCCAGCCCAGGATCAGATCTCACTCAGAGCCCCAATCCTACCCGGGGTGGGGGGGAGAGAGGTCTCAGTTTTGGGGGCTGGACTGGAGAAGGGAACAGTACCCAGGCCAAGGAAGCAAAGTGTGGCTGTGGCTTTTTTTTTTTCCTTTTTCTTTATTGGACGCTTTGTAGGGGTGTCAGGCAGATCTGGTAGTTACACTGTTAAATAATTCTTTAAAAACCAACCAGGACCAGAACCAGGGCCCCAGCCCCTAGCTCTGAATCAGAAGCAGAATGGGAGAAGAGAAGCAGAAGTGGAAGGGAAGGGGAGGGGAGGAGGGGTTGGAACCTTCCTCATACCTCCCTGAACCCAGGCTCCCTTCACTGTGGCCCAACTCTAAGGGTCGGGGACCCAGGGCTGCCCCCAGGTGGCCCTGACTGCATCAACATCCAGGTATGGAAAAGGTAAACAATATGGGAGGGAGGGCGGCCAACTGTGGTCCAGATGTGAATAAAGGTAAGCAGAGAGAGGGTGGGAAACAGACAGGTGGTGTCTGCAGGAGTCAGAGTGCTGCTAAGGCAGGAACAGGGAGTTAATGGGAGGGGAAAGGGAAGAGATGGCAAGGGATGAGGAATATTGCAGTGATGCAAGAGCATAGCCCCGGGGGGTCCAGTCCTGGGTGGTTGGTCAGGGTAGCAGATGGTTTAGTCCCCTGACCAAGATCCTGACCCAAACCTGTGGTGGCTAGCTCACACATTGTGGGTCCTCTTGGTGAGCTGGGGCTCTTCATCAACCAGCTTAGACTTAAGGTGTTCCTTGTAGGCTAGGATATCACCAGACCACTTGGTGATTGTCTGCTTCTCACAGACCCAGATCTCCTGGGCAACCTGAAACAAGAATCATAGTCCTCAATTCTCTTTACATCCAGTCCAGAAAACTAGGATTGATTCTGTTCTAAGGGATGGCCAGCAAGATATCTCCAAGCCCAATTCACTGCTCTGTAGAAAGAACATGGGGTTCTAGGTTTCAACTCCAGCTTCACTCCCTATTTATCAGTTGTGTAAACCACGGGCAAGTCACTTAACCTCTCTAGGTCTTCATTTCTTCATCTATAAAACGAGGATGTAGATGACCTCTGATGTTTTCCAGAGATAACTGTATCATCTACAATCCTATGACCCTCTTTCAGTAACTCAGTCCAGTGCCTCATGATCCCTTCCTTCCCCACTCACAGGTCAAATGCCTTCAAGAAGGTAATCGTTCCTCCTCATAAAAGTGGTCAGACCAGGAATCCTAGGTTGGTTTTTTTTCCAAGAAAGGCAGCTTTTCAACTACAGGTCCTTCAAGAATGGCACCACAGAGCTGCCAGAACTCTCGTTCAGAGGGTCCCTTTTCCCCGGTGTCTGTCTTTGCTCTCATATCTCCCCCAAACCCATTCCTTTTCCTCCTGAGGAACAAAAGCTCTCACCTGTTGGATGAGCCGGAAGTCGTGGCTGACCAGCATCATGCCGCCCTCAAACTCATTGATGGCGTCAGCCAAAGCATC